ATTAAAATTATTTATTTTTAATTTTCAATCGGATAAAAGGTTATAAATGCTTTACGAGTATATTAATTATTTTTTAATACTTATGAATACAAGCTTTATTCCTTAAAAAAAAGACTATATTATATAATAGTATATTTTATATTATCCAACATCAGGGCATTCAGTCAGGCATTGATGAAGGCTCTATGGCGACTGACAGACGATTTTTTTAAATAAATTTATTTTCACTATTTATTTTTTTTTTTTTTATTCTACATATAAATCTATACTTATTTCGACTTCTCGCGAAATGGATTGCAGTTTAATTTGGAAATAAGCTGTTCATATGATTAGCTAATTCTTCAAGTAAAAAATATTTTACCTCAGAATAATTTAGTACGAAAATGTTTGATTAAAAAAAAAATCAATAATTTGTAAATGGTGTTGCTTCGCATCAAATTCCACGACTCCATTGGAAGCTCCTCTTCACGTGATATAAATTTGCTAAATAGTTATGATTTATTCATTATTTAAAAAAAAAAAACACCTCAGAATCTGTAATACACCCTATTAGAAATAAAAATTTAATATCGTTCCCTAGAAAACCATTTAATTAAAATAATGTGATTATTAAACATACTAATTAAGAAAATATTAATTGGTAATAAACTATAACAAATGATAAATATTTAATTAAATATTATAAAATCAATTAAGAAAGCTTCTATAAAGTGTGTTATATATTCAATTAGTATGTTTTTTCTGCACTTTGATCATTAGATCAATTGAAACCTAGTAGTTCCACTTTTTCGCGATCTAGGAGTGCCTACTTGATTTTACTTTTTCAGAGTGGTTAGACCAGTATAAATTAATATTAATTTCATGGAGCTCACCATGAACTTCAACACTAATACTGGAATTCATAACTGTCATAAACAGATTTTAATAATAATAGAAGATTAATAAGATCACAAAATGATGCCACATCAAAATAAAAAATATTTCGGTATTAAATAAGGGCAAACTAAAATCTTTATGAACGATTATTTGACTTATTCGACTTAGAATATAAGAGGCGGTTAGAAATAAGTCAGGTTTCTGGAAATCCTTATTTAAAAAATTACAATAATATGCGTTACCTTATATTAAAATAATAGTAAGGTTATCGACTTAGATTTTTTTTTTTTTTCATAATTTAAAATAAATCATTTTTTTCAATCAAACCGCCCTCAGAATGTTATCATATTAACTTAAAAAAAATTGTGGGACATTCCACAGTTAAATATTAAGGAAATCATAAAATATTGAAGAAAATCCGTTCAATAAATTATAAACTATATTTTATTGCTGGACTATATTATTTTATTCTAAACTTATTATTAATACTATTTTTAAGGGTTGTATTTAAGGGTAGTATTTTTTGTTTAAATTAATTTTTTGTTGTTAAAGCTAATTAAATTTTTTGTTAGTTGATTGTCCTTAAATTCAGCCATTTTTGATATCTACTTGACAATAATATATATATATATATATATATATATATATATATATATATATATATATATATATATATATATATATATATATAATGAACAAGTTATCGAAAAATTAGTAGTTATATTTATTATTTAAAAATAAATATTCCGTTCCGCCGTAACTAGTCTTTAATAATTATTGAAATATGCATGACAGTTGACATCCATATATTGGTCAATATTTGACGTAGTACTACCTACATATCTGATCATTTTACAAAATAAGATTATTCTGATAGGTTACTGGTGTTTATAAATTTTAAAATATAATTTAAATCATAAATATACAAGAAGACAGTTTACGAGCGTCACGGTAATTGAAAATAAAGTGTTCGCCGTCACACAAGTTTGTGATCCTATTTAAAACGTTGGACGGCTATGTTCGAATTGGTTACTAAAAGCCTTGAAGGGCAACATAGATTCCTTATACCACTTCATTTATTTGAAATACCACATAATTTTTAGAAATATTTCATATTAGAATCATTATTTTTATTTAGTATTTTTTTCCTCAACATGGCATTCTGAAAGGATAATTATAGTTGACAAATATATTCAAAACGTCTCATAATGAATTTAATAACCTCTAAAAGTTGTCGTTATTGTGTACGAAAAACAAAAATAGGTAATTAATGCTGTTTTAATAATTTATATCGTCGGTGTCACAAGGAGATAGAATTTCCAACATTGGCATTTATTTTTACGAGATTTATGAAAGCTAAATATTTTCTATGGATATGGATAGTAACGCATGGCCGGAGAAGCATTGTAAGTATAAGTCATTAAAGTATTAAGCGAATGGAGACGAAATCGTAAGCGACAGTGACATATATTATGTATAAATTACATCCTGATGGGATAGAAGAACCCGATTCTAAGAGAGCAAATAAAACCTACGAAGGGATTTTAGTATGAAGATAATAGAAAAACTATATAAATGAGTTTCATAAATCAGTAATAAGTTCAACTTTGCGTTAAGAGAAGAAAAATAATTCTAAAAAAATAAAAACGAAGAGAGAACAACTTATCACATGATGAAATCAATTTTAAGCAAATTTATCGACAAAATTTTCAAGTCAAATCACAAAACATAATGAAAATAAATAGTACGTACTACAAATTACTAAATGAATAAAATAAATTTATAGAACTAACTGTAAATGTAATAACAGTAAAATATTTCTGTATTTAAACATTTATAAATATCATTACATTTAAATTTTGAAAATTTTATTATTGTTAAATAAGTATTTACTACAATTAATAGTATATTATAATTCTATAATCTTCACTGGATTAGTGCAATATAATTTAAAAATAAATTATTTTTGTTTGTTTTTGTTAATGCTGTGTTTTTCTTTATGTGAGAATTTTTCGGGAGTTGCAATTCATCTTAAATTTTGTCAGTTAAATAGTAAATATTTTTCGTTTCTTAGTATAAGTATATACGCCTACATAATTACTACTAACAAACCAGATTCGAAATATCTATAGGTAATAAAATTTATATTTGACCTTCCTATTTTTTAATTTTTTTTTATCGATTTCTAAAATTATATTTTCATACATAATATTTTAAAATATATTTTTCATTAAAACGGTTCTCGAAATATCGATTAGCTTTTAAGGCCAAATGATAGGGCGAAATGAAAGTAACGCACTTTCGTTTTTTCTCTTGTTCTTTTCATTAGTAATTTTTCTTAGCTCTTTTTGTAATTTAAAAAAATCAATAAAATTACCGTATCAACTACAAATAATATATCAAAATGTAATATAAAATAATTCTTAAAGCATAAATATTTATAAATGTGAGAGTGTTTTGATTAATAATATTTTTTAGACTTTTTTTTCTATAAAAAAAAAGATACTAAATGCACGTTGAATATTTTCGCTGGAGACTTTTAAGCTCGGCATGACTATCAGATGGAAAGTTGCCTTAAGATTGCTTGACCCGTTTTCCACTCTGCATCAAACTAAAATAGATGTATCGAATACTTCATTTTGTTTAAAAAAAAACATTTACCTTCAATTAATAGTAGTTTTATTGAATGTATTCATATCTATTTCTTCGAATGATTGAAAAAAAGATTGACCCACTTAAGATATTTGAAAAAAATATATAGTGAATCTATTTTCTTTACTAAGCTTCCATATAGCTTATTATATTATATTTATATATACAATAAATAAAATTAAATAAAAATAAGTTTGCCTTATTAATACTTTGAAATCCGTAGCTGTTAAAGACAGGTCATGAAGCCCCATCCGAAGATTACTACCATAACCCATTTACTCGCTTATTTTGCAGTTTTTTATTTACTTTTTTTTATCATATTTAAAATATCAAAAAATCACACGAATGACATTTTTTTTACATTAAATACTAATAATAATATTTAACACAGCAGGAAGAAATCCAATTGGTAGATACATTATTTAAAAAAGTGATAATCTTACAAACCGTACTGTTTATAATTTCGGTTATTATTCTATGACGATGTACATCATCTAGTTTAGCTATTTTATTATATATTTTGTTATCATCTAGTAACTCTAAAAAATTGCATGTTTTATGATTTTTAATATCGTTCAATATTTTTTGCAATTAGAGAAAAACCAATAATAAAATAAAATTTTAACATTCGATATGATATTTATTTTGAATAGATTTTTATTCATTCATTGAAAATAAATCTTTACTTATTTAAAATATTAGAAATTCAATGTTTAAGGCAACATAGTTCTTCGTTATTTTTAATGTACTGTTAAAAGCATCTTACCTTTGTATTATTGTATTGGGCTGTCATATTATAGTTTTTTTTTTATTGATTATAAATTTGTTTATAGTAATCATATTATATAGGACATTTTTAAAAGTAATACAGAAAATATATATTCTGATATTTGAAATGGCTGCATAAAATATAACAACATTTATTTTTTAATTGAAAAATAAAATTATAAAATTTGATGAAACAATGAACGAATATTATAGCTTTATTAATTTCTGATGTTGTTTATAATTGATAATTATAATTATTAAGGATTTATTGTTACTCATAATATTTTTACATATAAAATTGTGTATTTTTGTCTTATCGATTTACAAAAATCACATTGTAACCATTATGATTTTATTGTATTTTTCATTAAATGTTCTTAGTCATTTTATCTTCCTAATTCCATGATAGCATTGAAACAAGAAAAAATATATCATTTAACCATATCACCAAACTGTCATTTTTTTTTAATTGCACATATCATTGTAAGGATCAGACTTTTATTTTTTTAATTTCAATTGAAAATGGTCACTGATTTCAGAGATAACATATTTTAAGTGAAAAACATTTAAACATTTAATTATGATTTTTAGGCAAAAATTTTTGGTTTTTTTTTTACCAAAAATTAATTTGTTTATATCCTCCTAATCCAGAGATAAAATTCACTCTTTTTTTTTTTTTTTTGTATGCTTATGGGAGTACTTACCAATTGCTCTTGAACTTTTTGAGTTACGTTTTCCATCTTCGTTAGACATTCTTGGAGACCGTTCCTGAGCTCTAGGATTTCCTTTTGCATCGCTATTATCTCTTGGTTCCTCTTTACCTCGAGGTACGCGATGGCCAGACCGAGGCCCAAAGACGCGGCCAAGGCGACCACGAAGTACAGGATGACCTGCTTGTCTCGTCCTTCCATTGCGACTGAACGTCCCCACTACTAGTTGGTCCCTACCCTACCACTGACGGCTGCACTCCGCGGGGTGGTGCGAAGGTCTTCTCGAGATAGGGGATGGATCCTATAGATACTGACCGATCCCATAGATAAGATGGCCTTTAGAATGTACCTGCCTTCTTTGAGATTTAGTATAAATACATAAAATAAGAATAGTTTTGCGCAAATTCAAAACGAGAGTTATACTTTAAATTTTAATGTACAATATTAGAAATTTTATCTATGAGTGAACAAATCTAATAAATATTAACTGTTTGAAACTGATTTCACTATAATATATTCGATAAACATATTTGTCTGGATTTATAAAAAAAAATGCAATAATCTTAAAAGAAATATTTGATATTTAAGATAAAATTTAAAAATAATAATAAAATGAGCTAGGTGCTTTACTTAAATGTTTTATTGGGTTAAAAAAAAATTAAACTACATTACATTACGAATCTTTAAAAAAAAATAGAGTCTTGTTTAGATAAGGCCCGCCAATGATATTTTAATGATATTTAGTAACAGTCACGGGCGGATCTATGGGGGGAAGGGACTTTCGGGTTGAAGCCCCCTCTCCCCCAAAATGGTAAAACATAACCATGTTTTATGGAAATTTTTTTTTAAAAATACCTCTTAAAGTATTATTGTTCGTAATTACATTTAAAAGGACTTAAGGAATCACTTAAACACCATTTCATATACGTATTTAGTTTCTTTCTGTTTTTCCAAAGTAATTATCGTAATTTTTATGAAAAAAAAGCTTCCGGGCTGAAGCCCCCCCCAAAAAAAAATTAAATCCTGGATTCGCTACTGGTAACAGTTGTTATGAAACTTGATACCATTGATATAGAAATAAAATCACATGTTTAAATATTATTTAATTTAGTATTGTTTGTGTAGTTGCGGTTATAATATACACGATGAATATTTTTGAAGTTAACTATTTATGCAAGCCAATGAGCCAAAATTTTCTGTGAAGAAAGAGGAATTATACCATTAAGCATTTTAACATTTGGGTCTCATTAAAAATATGTTAATGTTTTCGGTTATGTACAAAAAGTTCCTATTAAATAAATTATATGTTTCTTTAACGCATATTTTTTTTAATTTGTCAATAAGTAACTGATATTAGATGAAATAACTGGCGGGCCTAATCTAAAATAGACCCAAAAATTACATGGGGTTTAGAGATAGGTATATAGTTGTCTGTTTAAAATATTAAGATGAAAAAATTGTCAGGATGTGCAGTCAAAAATTTCTTTATTGAGTTGGCTGACGCACAGTATGGCCGATTGCGAATATAGCGGGACAAAAGTCTAGAAGCCATTTATGAAATATTTCCAACTCATGCAAACTAATCTGTTATTGTTACAATTGGTCGTTGAATAATTTTTAAACCATTTTTTGTCTGAAATCAATATCTTATTCTTTATATTTCATGCAAATTTTAAAATAACAAATATAACATTATTGTAATTAAATAACACTTAGACCGAGATTTCTTTTCATTTTCATAACACTAACATAGCGCTTTTTTTTTTTTTTTTTTTTTTGCGTAGTGATCTGTAAAGACGAATGCGTGCTTTTTTTTCAGATCATAATAATATTTGTTGCTAAGAAATAATTATTTTTTCATAATATCGTAAAACGTGAAGCAACGTTTAACAGTCCAAGTGGCAAGGTCTAGAAGTTCTATGTCCGCCACGCATTAAAAAAAGAAAAAAGCAGTGAATAACAGTAATAAAATATTGCGTTATTACTGACCATTATACTAGTCATTAAACCATCGTTTCCTGCTCTTGCTACTTAAGTTAATTATTTTTCCGAAAACAAGACTTTTCCAACTGCAACACAATTATTATAGTTGTTTTTAAACGGGTTCATATAAACTATTTTTTCTATGAGAGATCAATGTGAAATAATTGTTGTAAATGAAAAAAAAAAAAATAAAGCTACTTTAGGGAAAGCTAATATTAAAAATTATAAATTTAAGTCCTGTTAGGGAAGATTAATGAGAATAAAACCTACATTATATTAAAAAATACTCAATTTTATGATATTTTATATTCTACTCCTTCTTTTACACAAGTAGAATGAAATAGTTTTTTAAACAATGTCATTTCCTTGATTAGGTAGATTTTAAATACTTTTTTCAAACTTAAAAATGTTTTAAAAGTTTACATTTAGTTAGTAAATTTCATTTAATTTCCTTGAAAATATGTGATTTACGTTAAAATATTATTCATTTTCAAAAATGATTGTTTATAATTTTTTTGCCATTCTCCGTTACCTTCTACAACTTTCTATATTACATATTTTTTTTCTAAAATTCGGAAATTCGTTTTCGACCTGGACAAGCATTTTCATTTTTTTCTCCTTTCTTCAATTATCAAATTCTTTCAAAAGTTATATTTAGCATTTTTTTGTAACACATAATAATGAGAGATAGTTAATTATTTAAAATAAAACATGTTAAAGGTACTTTAGAGGAAGACGCATATGAACATTGGGCATTTAAGCCCTGTAAAGTGACATCAACGGAGATAAGACCTAAATGATATTAAAGACCACTTAATTATACAATGATACACCGATTTTAATCAAAATCGTTAGGACCGTTTGCGAGAAAATCGATATAAATGTGCTAAATCGATTCGATAAAGTGCCACTTCCGGTTAGTCGAAAAAGTTGCTGTAACATCCCAGGCATATTAAAACCTCAAATATGCAATTTCACTTTCGAACGAATTTTCTTTTTTTGAGCTAGACTGCTAAGACACACACATACCATTTTGCGGGACTTGTTTATTTACTTAGTTACTTAGTTATTTATACTCAGGGGACCTCAAAATGTATATTTCCGTTAAAAACTGAGATTTGAAAATTTTCATGATCACAATAGTTTCCTTTACTATATGTTTCATATATAGGTAAGTGAAAGTAAGAAGTTATAGACTAAAATGTGGAGGAGTTTTTTTATTTTTTATTTTTTTGATAAGCGTTGCTGATTGGCGTAGATTATAAGTGTTTCAGATAACATAAAATTGGAGGAAAAAGGCATGACTAAATACCTTATTTATTAAACTACAAAAAAAAAAAAATTATTAAACAGCATTCTTATACTGTCCACTACTAAGAGACAGAACGAACTAACTTTTACTTTTTTATTTTTATTATTTAAGAAATTTACAACTGTACAAATCAATACACATTCAGCAAATGCGATACAGAGGAATGCATGGCATGACAAGGCTTGGAATCTACCCTTTGGTAGCACTCCAATAAAGTATCTGAATTAGGAGATCACGAGGCCATCTTCTTTTCAGACGCCTAAGAGAGAGCGTTATCATCGATCGAGGAGGAAGCAATGTTAGAAACGAGATAATTGTGATGGTTCTGAAGTTTATTATGGAAGGACAGGTATCTGGATTGGGCCAAATCGGATACATATGGAACATTCAGATCATTATGGATTATTTTATTTGTTACAAATTAAGGATTTTACGAAGGATTTTGGATTGTAAAGATTGGATACGAGACGAATTCGATGGTTTAGTGGAGCTCCAACGATCAACTCAGTAAGTCCAAATAGGTGTTAATATGGTCATGTAAATGAGTATTTTGAAATTATTCGAAAGGTTAGAGCGTTTGTCTAGTAAGTGCTGAAGTAGTCGGAAACGTCGAGCGGTTTCTTGTCGTTTCAGTCTGCTATGACGGTTCCAAGGTAGAAGTAGTCCAGATGGAGTCCTAGGTGAATTAATTTATCTTCAAAATATGAAAGAGGTGGAAAGGTATTGGTTAGCTGTTTTTTCAAGTGCTCGATTGGCATATCTACAGGATTAATTATCTCTTTTCTTGTTTATTAACATCTTGCCTAATAGTACCAACACGTTTCCCATCATAATTCCGATCTTCATTTTTAGAATTTTGTTCCGCTAGATGCACAATCGGCCACACCGTGCAACTTTTTTTATCTTTACATTTCTTTATTGAGTTAGATGTCGGCTAACTCAATAAAGATGTTTTTGACTGCACATCCTGGCAATATTTTCATCCTTTTAAATGGATTTGTTGACGTTGAAATCAACATTTCGCCCATATAACATTCTAAGATATAAAAGATATTGAATTGATGAAACGAAGGTTATCTTTTCTTATTTATTTATTTATTTGATTTATTTATTTATTATAATTATTCCAGATATTTTTTTTAAGTGAAAACTTCTTTAGACGTTTTTTTGTGGAGAGTGAATTAGATTGAACCGTCAGATATCCGATAAAGTGGCGATAAAGTCGACTCCCGGGTAAAGTTGATTGGAGTCGAATAATTGAAATGTATTTACATACGGATTAAAACTAAAAAGCGAGGGAAATTTCCATCATTTCATCCTCATTGTAATGAGCTAATATTCAAAATTGTTTCTTTACGCGACGCTGTGTTAGAAAGACGAAAAGGAAAAAATAGTGTCGAAAACCAAATGATAACGAGTTTTATGTAAAATATGGATCAAACAATATTTCATGAACTAAAAACTGGACATACATACTGTAAGCGAGGGAAATGTTCAGCATTCCACCCTCATTATAATGAGCTATTATCTATAATTTATATTTCATATTATCAATCCTGACTTATTGATGTTTTCACTTCTACCGTGTGGTCACTCATTTTTTTTTTTTTCAGTTGTGTTTTTCCTGCAAATAATAGACTACAGGAATCGATTCGATCGATAAAAAAGTAGATATGTATTATATTGTTCTCGGGAAAAATTCGACTGAACGAAAAAATAAATAAATAAAGCGCAATGCAATTTACCGAATTGCATGGAAATTTACCCGAAGGTCAATGGGAGAAAGAAAAAGGGATTTTGACAATCAGCAGATGTGGGGAATTTAAAATCGACTTCGGAACCCCTAGAACACTATTTAGATGGTTGGAGGTTTTCAGTATATCTATGTTTTTCAAAATACAGATGTACTTTATTCGCTACCGCAAATCATTTTCCCATTACAATATATGATTTAT